GTGAAAATAAAAATGTTATATCTTCGTGCAAATTATTCTTCTTAAAATATTCAAAGTCTAAAAATATATAAAATTCATTTAATACTTTCCATACAAAAAGAAAGTAAGATTATTCGTAAGAGGGTTAGAATTATTCACTCAATAGTTAGATTTTTTTTGTAACACAAAATAAACGAGAATAAGAAAGAGATAATTTTCTGTAATTATTTAGGTTAGTGAAAATAAATAAATAAATAAATAAAACATGGAAAAACTAAGACAGAATTAATTAGAAGAGAAATTAAGAAATTGAGTGATGACCTTGAAGATGATTGCAATGAATGAAGTGTTCCGACCAACCTCTCTGAATTGGGATTTATGGATTTTGTTTTCCGACCAACCCTTGGTAAAGACGAAACTGATAAAAACATTCGTGGTCGTCTATCGCATGTCGGTGTCTCTGCATCACTTCATGCTCCTGTCATTTGAGATTAACATGCAGGTTTAGGTTGCAACAGTGGCAAAACTTGGCACCCAAAATGAAACGGAAATCAATGAGGAAATACAATAATATTGGTAGAGTTGAGTGAAGTAAAGCATTTGAATGTGAGTGAGAAATTAGCGAAGATAAAGCAAAGGAAGTGAACCTTGGTTTTTGTTATATGTTGATGAGAACTGAAGAAAAGTGAAGGAGTGGCAATGGCGTTTAAGAGAAATCCTTGTGTGGGCCAAAGTGAAAGAGAGAGAGAAGAAGAAAGCAGAAGAGAAAAGGAGATGAAATGAATAAATAGAAGGTTAGGGGTTGTGAAAGTGAAGAACTATTGGAGAGGTTTGGCAGCATGGAGTTATTGCAGAGCAGAAGGTGTAAAAGCATTTATGAAGTAGATAGATTGTTAGATATCCATATTCCACACACTAACTTACTCTACTCTCATAGTTATATATATAATTACTTATTAAATTTAAACATTTTAGTTATCATTTTAAGTCACGAATTTATTTGGTAATTAAATTTTTTTATTTGTTTTAAATTTTTAAAAATTTATTATTATGTGAAAATAGTTCAACACTTAACTTCTTTCATTCTTTCTTTCAACTTTGATCATTAAATTACCCTTATATAATACCATTGTTTTCGACCATGTTAATAAATTTTTTACAATACATTTTGTGCCATTATTTCATTAATATGTGTATTTAAAACAGACCAATCACAACTGTCATAAACAATTATAAAAATATTGTCAAAAGAAATTGTTAAAAAAATGTTTCCTTTCTCCGTTCATATAGTTTTGTTTGACTTTTGAGAAAAAAATAAATATTTTAAAAATTACAATATTTTTATACACCTAATTAAAGGGTTTTCGGACATACGACATGAAATGTTAATCCGATTTCGTAAACCATATTTTTTTTCATAGTTTTTCTTAATAAATTATGACGACAGCAACCTCTATTTTCCATTTATGATTTGTGTTCGTAACATTTCAGTTATGACAACATGTATAAGAATGATAGTTTAACTTGTGTGTTTGATTAAAAAATATATTTGAAAGAGTGAATTTAAGATAAAAGAGACGTGAAAGTGAAATTATTTAACGAAAAATGGCAAGAAATAAAAAGTAGAAAAAATTATAAAAGTTTATAAGTGATATGATTATTTAATAAATTAGAAAATATTTTAATATATTTTATTATTATTATTTATATATAATAATTAAGGAAAGAAAATTTAGCATCCAATTTTTATTTTATTTTTCGTGATTTTAATCAAGTTTTACACATTTTCAGATCCTGAAATCCAATGACAGTGTTAGATAACATTTACAAAACAGAGGACATACTAAATATATAACTTAATTTAAAAATGAGATACAATTCTTTAAAATGGTTTGAAAAATAAAAACATGTTTAATCCTTTTAGTTATGGTTTTATCCGGTTGAATTCAGTAGGAGGGAGGAAAAAGTGGAAGGCTTGGGTGATAGGGTGTTACATGGTTACGTTTTTATACCATTTTTTGATAGAGAGATAGAGAGCACACATAACATAAACCTGTCTAATGGAACTGTTCATAAGAATAGGATGTCGTTACAGCACTGGAGTGATTGTAAAAGCCAAAGCGAAAAACAAGAGTTGGTATGCTAAATCTACAACAACATTAGGTTGGTTTCCACTTTTGACAGGGAATCTGGTAGGAAGAGAACACTCTTCGCCGTTAAAAAAGACCTTGGAAGGGAACCCATCTCCTTTTGCAATTTTGATATTTGGTGAATACTTCTTGGTAAAGGAAATAACGGATTGCTGTTTTCCGGGAACATGTGGGTTTGATTTATTGTCCAAAGCTATAAGATAGTTTGCTCCGATAAATCCTTGCAAGAAAATAGTATGGTTGAGCTTTGGAATGGTGGTTGCATTAAAAGAATATGCTGCTTGGTAGCCGCGAGGAGTCTTCTTGAATTGGAGGGCGGTGAACCAATTCTCAAACTGGGTAGTCATCCAGTTGAACATAGTGATTCGAGCACTCCACCCACCTTTGTAATCGGAAACCACATGCCAGTTTATGCTGACTTCGCAGTTGTCGGCACAGGGTAATCTTTTGGGAATCGTAAAATGCTTCATTTTGGCCCAAGCAACCGTCTTTGCCGACCTGTTTTCAAAGGGTAGAAGAAGAGCTTCTGCAGGAAGAAGCATTGCCGGAGAATTGGGATTGCATTTTTTGGTGTTTACAGAATCACAGCCACAGGCACAGGTGTTACAAGGGACTACGGAGTCATTGTAATAAGAGGAGAAAGAAACACAACAGCGAGTGCTCCTTTTGGTTGGCTTAGTGATATTGCAGACTATTTGCCAACTTGAAATGGCAATAACCGTTGCTTCGAGTCCTCTGGAGTCTGGAAATCGAGCAGGCTCCACTCTTCTGGGTAACCCACATTTGTAATGTGGGTTCAGAATGCCCGTAATTTGCCATTTCTCAGGAGGGTAAATTGCCGTTTTGTTTAAATCAGGTGGAATTTTGTACACTTGCATTGTGAAAGCAGACTTGGATTTGCTGGGGTCCATAATGATGGGTAAAAGATTTCCGTCTTTGCAACAGTTAGGTATCTTTCCAAGTTCACTGTCGTTATATTTCTCTGAAGGCAAATCACTCACTATAGGATTCTTCTGACAGTTAAGCACTTTAGAGAAATCCAATCCCGCGTAATACTTTCCTGCCTCGCCATTGATGCAACCCAGGGACTCTATCTCACGTGTGAAGGCACCTTTCATGGAGTATATAAATTCCCCTCTTGTCCACTCCCACGTCAAGTTCCAATGATCCAACCGTCCCAAAAAGTGTTCGTTCTCCATCAACACCTGAACCAAATAATTATCGTCATACACTTGAGTAACGTCATAGGAGATCAGAAGATCCCCTTTTTGCCGTGCTAAGAATTTTGTCTTCTTAGCAACTGCAATCTTGGCTTTAGGGTCCTTTTTGCAGCATGCATACATGGAACTTTCTGCGGAACACGATTTTCAGTGGTTAGGTTACAACTCAAACAACACGCTGTATTATCATCTGCTACTGTCGGAAACATTTACGTTTTTCAAAACAAACTATTTTTTATCGACAAAAGCTTATTATAAATCATTGAAATTGGAGAATCATAAGACTACTCACTGTGGGTAGTTGGTTTGGGGCATTTGTAACCATCGTTTACCAACTTGATGGTTTTTGGCATAGGAACCGTAGGGGGCTTTACTCCAAACTGGGTACCGGTAAGGTCGATGACGGCTTGGATCTGGCTTAAATCTTGAGCTGTGTTGATTGCGCTATCCAAGTCTGGCTGAGAAGCTCCGACGAAGGTAGTGCCATTTCCTACCGAAGCGGGGAACTCGGTTGCCTCTTCTATATTGCCTCCGCCGACGGAGACTAGAATCTCGTCGTGTTGAAACTCTATGAACAGCTTCCATGCCTTAAACACTTCTTTACCTGTGTTGAGAACTGATGCGGTGGAACTGAAGGCCCAGGACTGCGCCGTCACATTCTTCACGTGAGGGTATTCTTTGGTTCGTTTGAGAAAGTCATAGGAAATGAAAATCCCGTTACAAGTTTCCCCTGCTGGAGGCAAAGCCTTGGCTTGCTGGCCCTGGCCCTCGCATTCCTGAATTAATATTCCACATGAAACCAACAATACTACTATCGCTGCTACTGATAACGACGGTGATAGATATGGCGATAATGTGTTCGCCATGAGGTGGAAGAAGAAAAGAGAAATGGATGGGGTGATATAGAGAGTGAGAAGTAGTGTTCTGTAGAGGAAGGAAGTGAAGTGCATGGAGACTCCAAATATGGGTGAAGAATAAGTCACACTGCAACATCAGCCTTAAGTCTGCGATGATTTTGGCGGAGATAACGACTAAAGCCCATTTTCAAACTCACCACATCACATTATGGTATAAAAAAATATTCTTTATTATCTATACGCTTAATTTCAAATATTAATTATTTATATGAAAGTCAAGATAGAAAGGAGTTTATATTATATATATCATATCATGCATTAGAAAGATGGTGAAAAGTTTGTGTAAACAGAATTTCCTATAAACTGTTTTATTGGATATTGGCATTAGATACACAGAAGCACATAGGCAACATTTATAGACCTTCCTAATATGCTTGTACAGAAAGGATTGCATGACCACAGGAGGGTTTCTAAGTTTATGTTTTTTTTATTTTCTTTAACTTTTAGTTTATTAATTTATTATATTTTACATAAATATATAGATATTATTTATTTACTTATTTTAAATTTGTTACATAATTATATATAAATTAATTTTATTTTATTTAATGAAATAATTATTATTAATTTAATTTAATTATATTATTTTTTAATTAATTATGTTAAATAGATATGTCAAATGAATTATGTTAAATGAATTATATTATAGTATTAAAATATTGTCAAATATTTTTTTTATTATTTTTATTGGATAATATCATTAGAAAGCTAGTGAAAAGTTTGTGTAAAGAGAATTTCCGAAAGTCTGTTTTATTGGATAATGGCATTAGATACATAGAAGCACATAGGCAACATTTATAGACCTTCAATGAAGTTGACCCCACTGTTCTTCAACCAAACATCGCCTTGGATGAGGTTTTTTACTGTGAACTGGTTGGCCACGGCTGCACTTTTGATGATGTGGTAACCAGTCCAATTCACTCTTCCACCGGTACCGGCACCAGGTCCTCTGTTCATGTACTCTCCATAATACAGGGTTTCCAAATAGCTCTTATGTTTGTCATCCCATTCCGACCATCCCTCTGGGTCAATATGCTTGTCCAGAAAGGATTGCATAACAACAGTCCTCGAGAAGTTCTGCCACGGCCGGCCCAGATATGTTTTGAAAGACTTTATCTCGGGCCTGAGATCCTCACTGGGGGAGACGTTACACTGTTGAATTGAAATTCCTGTGTTTTGGTTTGGATCTGTTCGTGATTGGGCCGTCACCATGTTTTTCTGACCTTTCATGGGCNTTTTTTTTTGTAACACAAAATAAACGAGAATAAGAAAGAGATAATTTTCTGTAATTATTTAGGTTAGTGAAAATAAATAAATAAATAAATAAAACATGGAAAAACTAAGACAGAATTAATTAGAAGAGAAATTAAGAAATTGAGTGATGACCTTGAAGATGATTGCAATGAATGAAGTGTTCCGACCAACCTCTCTGAATTGGGATTTATGGATTTTGTTTTCCGACCAACCCTTGGTAAAGACGAAACTGATAAAAACATTCGTGGTCGTCTATCGCATGTCGGTGTCTCTGCATCACTTCATGCTCCTGTCATTTGAGATTAACATGCAGGTTTAGGTTGCAACAGTGGCAAAACTTGGCACCCAAAATGAAACGGAAATCAATGAGGAAATACAATAATATTGGTAGAGTTGAGTGAAGTAAAGCATTTGAATGTGAGTGAGAAATTAGCGAAGATAAAGCAAAGGAAGTGAACCTTGGTTTTTGTTATATGTTGATGAGAACTGAAGAAAAGTGAAGGAGTGGCAATGGCGTTTAAGAGAAATCCTTGTGTGGGCCAAAGTGAAAGAGAGAGAGAAGAAGAAAGCAGAAGAGAAAAGGAGATGAAATGAATAAATAGAAGGTTAGGGGTTGTGAAAGTGAAGAACAATTGGAGAGGTTTGGCAGCATGGAGTTATTGCAGAGCAGAAGGTGTAAAAGCATTTATGAAGTAGATAGATGGTTAGATATCCATATTCCACACACTAACTTACTCTACTCTCATAGTTATATATATAATTACTTATTAAATTTAAACATTTTAGTTATCATTTTAAGTCACGAATTTATTTGGTAATTAAATTTTTTTATTTGTTTTAAATTTTTAAAAATTTATTATTATGTGAAAATAGTTCAACACTTAACTTCTTTCATTCTTTCTTTCAACTTTGATCATTAAATTACCCTTATATAATACCATTGTTTTCGACCATGTTAATAAATTTTTTACAATACATTTTGTGCCATTATTTCATTAATATGTGTATTTAAAACAGACCAATCACAACTGTCATAAACAATTATAAAAATATTGTCAAAAGAAATTGTTAAAAAAATGTTTCCTTTCTCCGTTCATATAGTTTTGTTTGACTTTTGAGAAAAAAATAAATATTTTAAAAATTACAATATTTTTATACACCTAATTAAAGGGTTTTCGGACATACGACATGAAATGTTAATCCGATTTCGTAAACCATATTTTTTTTCATAGTTTTTCTTAATAAATTATGACGACAGCAACCTCTATTTTCCATTTATGATTTGTGTTCGTAACATTTCAGTTATGACAACATGTATAAGAATGATAGTTTAACGTGTGTGTTTGATTAAAAAATATATTTGAAAGAGTGAATTTAAGATAAAAGAGACGTGAAAGTGAAATTATTTAACGAAAAATGGCAAGAAATAAAAAGTAGAAAAAATTATAAAAGTTTATAAGTGATATGATTATTTAATAAATTAGAAAATATTTTAATATATTTTATTATTATTATTTATATATAATAATTAAGGAAAGAAAATTTAGCATCCAATTTTTATTTTATTTTTCGTGATTTTAATCAAGTTTTACACATTTTCAGATCCTGAAATCCAATGACAGTGTTAGATAACATTTACAAAACAGAGGACATACTAAATATATAACTTAATTTAAAAATGAGATACAATTCTTTAAAATGGTTTGAAAAATAAAAACATGTTTAATCCTTTTAGTTATGGTTTTATCCGGTTGAATTCAGTAGGAGGGAGGAAAAAGTGGAAGGCTTGGGTGATAGGGTGTTACATGGTTACGTTTTTATACCATTTTTTGATAGAGAGATAGAGAGCACACATAACATAAACCTGTCTAATGGAACTGTTCATAAGAATAGGATGTCGTTACAGCACTGGAGTGATTGTAAAAGCCAAAGCGAAAAACAAGAGTTGGTATGCTAAATCTACAACAACATTAGGTTGGTTTCCACTTTTGACAGGAAATCTGGTAGGAAGAGAACACTCTTCGCCGTTAAAAAAGACCTTGGAAGGGAACCCATCTCCTTTTGCAATTTTGATATTTGGTGAATACTTCTTGGTAAAGGAAATAACGGATTGCTGTTTTCCGGGAACATGTGGGTTTGATTTATTGTCCAAAGCTATAAGATAGTTTGCTCCGATAAATCCTTGCAAGAAAATAGTATGGTTGAGCTTTGGAATGGTGGTTGCATTAAAAGAATATGCTGCTTGGTAGCCGCGAGGAGTCTTCTTGAATTGGAGGGCGGTGAACCAATTCTCAAACTGGGTAGTCATCCAGTTGAACATAGTGATTCGAGCACTCCACCCACCTTTGTAATCGGAAACCACATGCCAGTTTATGCTGACTTCGCAGTTGTCGGCACAGGGTAATCTTTTGGGAATCGTAAAATGCTTCATTTTGGCCCAAGCAACCGTCTTTGCCGACCTGTTTTCAAAGGGTAGAAGAAGAGCTTCTGCAGGAAGAAGCATTGCCGGAGAATTGGGATTGCATTTTTTGGTGTTTACAGAATCACAGCCACAGGCACAGGTGTTACAAGGGACTACGGAGTCATTGTAATAAGAGGAGAAAGAAACACAACAGCGAGTGCTCCTTTTGGTTGGCTTAGTGATATTGCAGACTATTTGCCAACTTGAAATGGCAATAACCGTTGCTTCGAGTCCTCTGGAGTCTGGAAATCGAGCAGGCTCCACTCTTCTGGGTAAGCCACATTTGTAATGTGGGTTCAGAATGCCCGTAATTTGCCATTTCTCAGGAGGGTAAATTGCCGTTTTGTTTAAATCAGGTGGAATTTTGTACACTTGCATTGTGAAAGCAGACTTGGATTTGCTGGGGTCCATAATGATGGGTAAAAGATTTCCGTCTTTGCAACAGTTAGGTATCTTTCCAAGTTCACTGTCGTTATATTTCTCTGAAGGCAAATCACTCACTATAGGATTCTTCTGACAGTTAAGCACTTTAGAGAAATCCAATCCCGCGTAATACTTTCCTGCCTCGCCATTGATGCAACCCAGGGACTCTATCTCACGTGTGAAGGCACCTTTCATGGAGTATATAAATTCCCCTCTTGTCCACTCCCACGTCAAGTTCCAATGATCCAACCGTCCCAAAAAGTGTTCGTTCTCCATCAACACCTGAACCAAATAATTATCGTCATACACTTGAGTAACGTCATAGGAGATCAGAAGATCCCCTTTTTGCCGTGCTAAGAATTTTGTCTTCTTAGCAACTGCAATCTTGGCTTTAGGGTCCTTTTTGCAGCATGCATACATGGAACTTTCTGCGGAACACGATTTTCAGTGGTTAGGTTACAACTCAAACAACACGCTGTATTATCATCTGCTACTGTCGGAAACATTTACGTTTTTCAAAACAAACTATTTTTTATCGACAAAAGCTTATTATAAATCATTGAAATTGGAGAATCATAAGACTACTCACTGTGGGTAGTTGGTTTGGGGCATTTGTAACCATCGTTTACCAACTTGATGGTTTTTGGCATAGGAACCGTAGGGGGCTTTACTCCAAACTGGGTACCGGTAAGGTCGATGACGGCTTGGATCTGGCTTAAATCTTGAGCTGTGTTGATTGCGCTATCCAAGTCTGGCTGAGAAGCTCCGACGAAGGTAGTGCCATTTCCTACCGAAGCGGGGAACTCGGTTGCCTCTTCTATATTGCCTCCGCCGACGGAGACTAGAATCTCGTCGTGTTGAAACTCTATGAACAGCTTCCATGCCTTAAACACTTCTTTACCTGTGTTGAGAACTGATGCGGTGGAACTGAAGGCCCAGGACTGCGCCGTCACATTCTTCACGTGAGGGTATTCTTTGGTTCGTTTGAGAAAGTCATAGGAAATGAAAATCCCGTTACAAGTTTCCCCTGCTGGAGGCAAAGCCTTGGCTTGCTGGCCCTGGCCCTCGCATTCCTGAATTAATATTCCACATGAAACCAACAATACTACTATCGCTGCTACTGATAACGACGGTGATAGATATGGCGATAATGTGTTCGCCATGAGGTGGAAGAAGAAAAGAGAAATGGATGGGGTGATATAGAGAGTGAGAAGTAGTGTTCTGTAGAGGAAGGAAGTGAAGTGCATGGAGACTCCAAATATGGGTGAAGAATAAGTCACACTGCAACATCAGCCTTAAGTCTGCGATGATTTTGGCGGAGATAACGACTAAAGCCCATTTTCAAACTCACCACATCACATTATGGTATAAAAAAATATTCTTTATTATCTATACGCTTAATTTCAAATATTAATTATTTATATGAAAGTCAAGATAGAAAGGAGTTTATATTATATATATCATATCATGCATTAGAAAGATGGTGAAAAGTTTGTGTAAACAGAATTTCCTATAAACTGTTTTATTGGATATTGGCATTAGATACACAGAAGCACATAGGCAACATTTATAGACCTTCCTAATATGCTTGTACAGAAAGGATTGCATGACCACAGGAGGGTTTCTAAGTTTATGTTTTTTTTATTTTCTTTAACTTTTAGTTTATTAATTTATTATATTTTACATAAATATATAGATATTATTTATTTACTTATTTTAAATTTGTTACATAATTATATATAAATTAATTTTATTTTATTTAATGAAATAATTATTATTAATTTAATTTAATTATATTATTTTTTAATTAATTATGTTAAATAGATATGTCAAATGAATTATGTTAAATGAATTATATTATAGTATTAAAATATTGTCAAATATTTTTTTTATTATTTTTATTGGATAATATCATTAGAAAGCTAGTGAAAAGTTTGTGTAAAGAGAATTTCCGAAAGTCTGTTTTATTGGATAATGGCATTAGATACATAGAAGCACATAGGCAATATTTATAGACCTTCAATGAAGTTGACCCCACTGTTCTTCAACCAAACATCGCCTTGGATGAGGTTTTTTACTGTGAACTGGTTGGCCACGGCTGCACTTTTGATGATGTGGTAACCAGTCCAATTCACTCTTCCACCGGTACCGGCACCAGGTCCTCTGTTCATGTACTCTCCATAATACAGGGTTTCCAAATAGCTCTTATGTTTGTCATCCCATTCCGACCATCCCTCTGGGTCAATATGCTTGTCCAGAAAGGATTGCATAACAACAGTCCTCGAGAAGTTCTGCCACGGCCGGCCCAGATATGTTTTGAAAGACTTTATCTCGGGCCTGAGATCCTCACTGGGGGAGACGTTACACTGTTGAATTGAAATTCCTGTGTTTTGGTTTGGATCTGTTCGTGATTGGGCCGTCACCATGTTTTTCTGACCTTTCATGGGCTTTCGGGCCTCCAGCGTACAGTTCTGGAAGACGGCAGCTGCGTTTCCAAAGATGAAGTCAACGGTGCCCGTAACGTAGGAGTCGCGGTAGAACTGTCTGTTGGAATGGACGTAGAGCGTGTCCTGATATGCGTCCACGCGGCAACGATTTATCACGGATTGATCAGCGCCCACGCGAAGTGCGACTGCCTGGTGCTTTTCTGGGCCTGCAAAATTTTTAAACCAAATGTCTTGGGCTATGAACCCATCCCCAACCGCCGCTTCATAAACCCATCATCAGCAGGTTAGTTTTGAATAGGCCCAATACGTGTACAAAATTTAAAAAAAGAGGAAGATCCGTACCAACAGTAGCAGTGTGAAAGGTGCTCGTTTCGTTGGTGACGCTCACGTTTCCGGTGATTATAGTTAAATCCATGCTGTCACCCACCAGCATGACGTTCTTCTGTTTCTTACCAATTTCAAGTTTCTCTATATACGTTCCGTTCTTCACATGAATAACATACCTCTTCTTGCTTTTATCGGGTACCGTGGCCAAAGCTTCAGCAACAGTAAAAAAGTCACCACTCCCGTCCTGAGCCACCACAACGTTCGCCTTGATTTCTCCGGCCGAAGACTCTAACAGCCTCCGATCCTTGCTTCTCACCCATGAGGGAAACTTCCCATTTAGCGACACGACTTCAACCTCCGGATTTGGAGGCAAAACAGCAACGAACATGGCTAAAGAGCTTCTTGCTCTCGAGATCAAGTCCTGAACCTCTGCCTCCATCACCCTTCGAGCTCGCCCCTTCAGTCCCTCCAAGCAAGTTACATGATTGGTGAGCACGCTGCTCAGCCAAGTGTGGACATCTTGCGCCGAATCAGTGGTCCCTTTGGTTAGGCTGGCCTTTGAGTCCCAAACTCTGTCCACGGACAACTCCATCAGCTCCACGCAATCCCGCAAAGCGGCTTCTTCTCCTGGATTGTTCATCCTCACCCTCATAGCGTTGGCTGCCCCTATCACTCTCTCAATGTGTGAGGTGGATTTCATTAAAAAGGATTGGAGCAATCCGAATCTTTGGTTTTGTGTGGCACCGAACATCGGATCTTGTTCCACTTCCAAGACATGTGCCAAGCAGGCTGAATGATCAATTGCATGATCACAAACACGGTGAGAAATGCCGTGGTTGAATAAGGGAGAGGGTTTTGAGAGATAGGAAGCAATAAGAGCTGATGAAGTTAGCACAACAGCTACAGAGAAGATTAAGCATATAGTTTTGGAAACGGATTTTCTAGGGTTGTTGTCTAACAGAGATTGGTGTGTTGCCATGCTTCTGATCAGTGTGTCTGCTCTTGCTTATCTGTTTTTTGCTTCACTGTACTTATAGTTGAATGAATTCAACCACTCGTTCTGAACGAGGATACCATGTGACTTGCTCTCTGAAATATCTCTTCTGTCTTTTTAGTTTTACAGTGATGCAAGTATGGACTCTCTTACAAAGTTTCTTTTTTTTTTTACTTCACCTAATAAATGTTTTTTTCCGATTGAACAAGAAATATCAGTTGCAGGCCCCAGTTTGCAAAATACCAGGAGGATAACAAAAGATTTGAAGGAAGAAGACGCCACAAGTACTAAGTGGTAAAACATTAGATTTTTTTCTTTCTTTTTAATCTTGTATAAATTATATAGATTTATGCATATTTCATTGTAATAATTATAAGATTTTTATAAGTGGGCTTACAAAAGTCATTGTAAAAAGGTGTTCAAACATGGAACAAGCATGCAGAACTTTTTAAAGTCAATGAGCACGATCTGAATCACCTAATTTCTGTAGATTTGAAAAAGTTATATGGGATAACTTGTCCACAGCATATTTATTCAAATATCTAATCATTATGCTTGTAAACAATGTTTTAGCATAATGATATAAAATGTCTACAAAATAAACAAGATCAAGTATAATCACAAACAAGTAAATTAATTTATTTTTAATAGGGTTTCAAATTTTCGAAAGGTGTACTAGAAATTACACTACTAGCTTATGGTGTTGTTTCATTAAAAAATTAAAAAATCTGCAAACTTAAACTTTATAATTTTTTTATAGCTTTCTCCAATAAATAAGTCATTCAAGTTGGCTGGTGGAATTGAACAAATTTCAATGCCATAATAATATTGTCCAAATATATCTTTATTTATTTAAAACGAGTCTTATATTATCCAAATATATCTTTATTTATTTAATTATTTATATTCTAACTTATGTTTAAAACTTCAAAAATTATTAAAAAAGATGACTGACTGCCCTCATAATTTGAAACTCGTATGCAAGCCTATGAATATGTTCCATGTACATTCCAAGTGCATATTAGACTCTCTTTTTTATCTTTTTAACCATCATATTTTCGAAAGATTGATATTAGTGATTTAAAATTTATTACACTATTGATTTCTCTTTTACTATTTTTATTTTTATATAATTTAATAAATTGTATATATTTATAAAATTTAAAAGAATAAGATACAAAATCTTATAAATATTTTATTAAAACATACTTAATGCAAGACAAGTCTGATTTGTTTCAAGGGCATCATGCTAGCTAAATTTTTAAACATTTTGTTCAAATATTGTAAAATAGACATGATTTGATGTAAAATAGACATGATTTGATGTAAAATAGACATACTATGATTTATTTTATTTTTTGTCAAGCGTACACTTTTAGTCTTATATGCTTTTGAGAAGAACAAAATTTCTATAATTGTTAACGTTCGTATAATGTGCTCAAAAAAATTAAAGTTTTGCTTTTTTATATAGTTTAATTGGTAAAGCAGTATGAAACATATGGTTTAAGTTCAAAATGTTACAAATCGTTCAGACTTTTGTTTTGGACTTTTTCCAACTTTTACCTCAATAATCAATTCTCTTTTAAACAAAATATCTACTAAATAAAAATATTTAATCATTAACATTGTTGAAAAAATTAACTAAAATTTTCTTATATGTGTAGATTTTGCTGCAGGGTTGCGAGGGAACATACGAATGATGCCTTACAAGGAAAACTGCATTATTATTAAACTTTTAAGAAAAGTTAGACCACATGTGTTAAAAACATTGCACAGAGGGGTTTTTTTTTCCATTGGCGACATATTTTTATATTTATTTGACATATAATATAAAAATAAAATAATTATAAATAATAATAATAATAATTTTGAAGGTAAACAATTTATGAATTTTAAAATATTATTTTTCTTCCCTTAATTTCATGGTACAATCGTACATAAGAATCTCTTTCCGATATTCACGGTTTTCTTCAATCAGTGTCTCACTAGCATCCAATTTTTCAATATATGCACATTTTTCTTTTGTTTCTTGTCGTTTTTAAATTATCGTCCTACATCAAATCAAGGTCCTTTTCAAACTACTTTTTTTATTTTTTATTTATAAAGTTTCAATGTCAAATATTTTAATTTGAATTTTTCATTAAATTATTTTAGCAATTTATCATTTTTAAAGAAATGTTATATGAATTTAATACTTTTCCAGTTCTACTTAAAATAATGTTTTTAAAAGAGCTAGATAAAATCATGTTTTTAAAAAACTTAATAATAGGGATGACGTTACTTTACATGACATTATTTACATGTTTTCATATACAAAATTTTAAAAAATGATTTAATTACATTTTTAGCAAATTTCTGTTTTATTGATTTTTTTTTAATTTTTTTAATAAAATCTATATTATTAATTAAGACGATATGATTCTTTCATTTTACCATCTCAAACAAACAAAATAGTATCTTCTGTACTAAAAAATTAAAGTAACAAAAAATATTCTACAAATCACCAACGGTGATTAAAGTAAAATCCATTAAATAGTATAACAAACTTATTTATTTTTTAAAGGACTTTATTTTTGTAGTGAGATTACTAAAATCCATTAAATAAAAAAAAAGTTTTGGTTGGTGACTCATTAACATTTAAATAATATTTTAACACATCTAACACGAAATCAATGTCAAAGCACGTGCTCATTAATTATACTCAATATTGTTTAATAATGCTTTATTATCCTTTGTGTTTTCATGTTTCGTTTATGGAAATTAGGGGTCACAATTTTATCCGGCACGGTATTTGTCGGTAAAAGTGGGTAAAATTCGCGACGAATAGTTATTATTCGCAGATAATAGATAGCGGGTATTTTAATACTTGCTTCTAAACGGGTTGGGTAGGGTACTCGTTACGCGCAAAAAATTAAAAAGTTTAATAATTTATATATCTTTTAATTAAATTTAGTTAAAAATAAAATAAAATAATATTTTATTAGGTTAAATTTAATTAAAATTAAAATTTAATTTATATTTACTTTAATTTATATTATATTATTACATATATTTTTTTGTAATTTTATTTAAATTTTATTTTAAAAATGTATTAAATATATTTTTTTTATTTTTTGTGAGTACCCGTGTAGATAGTGGATCCGGTAACGGGTACAATTTTATCCGGCGGGTCGGATTGCTTCCGTTACCATCCCTAATCAAAACAGTATTTCTATCAATATCTTTTCGAGAGTAGATTTCGAATACTTTTACTGAGCTGGTTGGTAGAGCGATCTAGAATTTTGATAGTTCATGAATGAAATTTATTAATAATTGATTATTTAAAAATAATATTTAGTTTTAAAATATTACAGAAAAAACATATGTGTATATATATTTTTACATTTTCCTATTACTGTGAGTGGTTATTTGAATTTAAGGAAAATAATTAAATTTAAATAAATAATTAGATAAAAATAAGAAAAAATGTATATATAAGAAAAATAGATCTCCTTTTATTAATCACGATGTAAGAAAAATAAAATGACTGACAGAAAAATTATACAATAGCATGAAATAAAGTTCACTTCACCAAATACTCCATCCAAAAATAAACTCCCAAAGTTAAACATTTTATATTTATACTTCTTCAGTTTATTAAAATTAGTTCACATCCTAAAAAATGGAAAAAGATATAAAATGTTATAGTGCTAATATTTTTGTTGAAATAATAAAACTTAGGAATAACTGAGGACCTTGTACGATAATAAAATAATTGAAGCATGAAAGCGACCTTTGCTATCATCTCCTGACCCTGTCACAAAAAGCAAAAGATTCCTACCATTGAACATGTGACAGAGGAGGAGTACGATAATTGCAAATCCGGCAAAGTTGTCTTTCCCCACCATTACATGTCTAATGTTGAGCTCCACCTTTGGATTGGAGATAGAATTGTAAGGAGTGAATGAATTTTTTTAAATAACTGTGTTTCGTGTTTGGATAAGGATAAAAATTAGGATAACAATACTTTCATAATTTATTTTTATATTATTTTAATATTATTTATGTGTCATTCCATGAGTGGTTCAATATTATTTCACAATCAATAATAATAAATATAAATACTGACATAAACCAATCACATAATATTAAAATATTATAAAAAAATATGGTTAAAATATCGTTATTCTAAAAATTATATGATTGCGATGAATTTGAAATTAAAATTTTGTATATGATCCTATTGTTAATTTATATCGAAGAGTCTATTTAATCACAAATTTCAAAGAAATTATTCAGTTTTTATAAATTATTTTTAAACAATAATTAAACTTGATAAAAATTTATTTACAATTGCATCATAATTGAGTTCTCACTAATTTAAAATTTATAAATACAAATTTAAAATAAAAAAATAAAAAATACATTTATTATGTATTAATTATAGAATTAACTGAATTGTTTTAGCATTAAAATATTTTTTATAATAATCTATTAATTTTATGGAACAATTTAAAAAGTGCAAAATAATAAAGAAAACTCAATCTTTATTGATTTTAACATTAAAATATTTTTTACAATAATATCTTAATTTGATCGCACAATTTAAAGAATGTAAAATAATAAATAAACCAATAATTGAAAAAATAAATAAAATATATATATTTTAATACATAAAATTAGATGATTATTACTTTATATTTTAAATATAAATAATTTATTATTATTCTTATTCTCCTTTGGACTTGCGATTCTAGCATTCATGGGCGTCCAACCTTCTCCCATCTCCTCTTAAATTCAATGGCGGTTTTGGGAGTGGTTTTCATGCCATCAAAAGCACAATAAAAGGAGACTATTTTCGTCTTTTACAATACAAAATTTATATCTATAATACACAGTTTTTATTTATATATCTTTTTTAAAATTCTATTTAGGAACAAGACTTCCTTTTATGTTTGTAATATATATGTATATGATGAATGAATATAATGAACTAACAGAAAATTACATGGGGTGATATAAAAAATCTATTATTTAATGATGAGAGATTTTATATGATTTCTAAATATAATTTATAATTTGATTATATGATTAAATGTTATTTTATTTCGCATTTAAAGTGTTATGTAATATCCAAATATTA